GCCACGATATGCATCTCCTACTCCTCCTTGATAACCATCCTCATATCCCCCATAACCCTGGTCATAGCCGTGCCCGTCATAACCTGACTGGTCATAGTCTTCGTTACCATGTTCTTCCCAGTCGTGAACACCAGTTTCCGGATTGCCTATAACTGAATAGCACATTGAGCGATGTATGTTAGACAATAGAATAACAGATGATTGAACACATTGAACACTGGTTGCATGACAATTGTACAAGAATACTTTTTACAATCAATATTATTCCGATTTACTATCTTCGCTCATCCTATACAGTATATGTTACCGAAAATGAATGAAATAAGAATAATAAATAGATGAGCACTACAAGTTATCTTAGATGGTCAATTCTACAAGAAATATCGACACCTGAATGAACGTCATTGTCAAATGCTTCGTGGCCGTTGTAGCCCGTAGTGACGTCATGCCCTACGTCCACCTGGGCGTGATCGTCAGCAACTGGCACGGTATGATCAGCTAGAAGAGAAGACATGCCTTGAAAACAATCACCGAGCCCCACAACATCAAATGAAACGGGTGATTTTCAAGAAGTAACCTCGCTTTTATATGCTAAGAAAAGCGCACAACAGAAAACTCCCTCCTCACACACTGCCTACACGGTGACGATCCATACCTATTTTTGGATAATTTACAGCTGCGATGATTGCTAAAAATTTGACTGCAAACTGCTGTTCGCTGCAGGGAAAATGGCGTAGGGATCAAGAGACCGTATTCTGGACCAGGGTCACAAAATGTGTAGGGTTTCAGCAAGACCAAACAAAAAATCTCAGACTTAAGATAACCTTCCACTTCTTCATGGATATAGTTCAATCCACAACATATGTATTAAGAAATGAAACATCAAGAGAAAATCAACACATTTGCCAGTACGTCTACTTAGCATCTCGAAAGCTTCTTTCCTCTCACGTTACTCTATCTTTAAAATGAGCAGGTAATTGTCATGGGATTTCTAGATTCGTACTTGTGCAAGACAAATATTTGTCCCTGGAAAGAGTAGTCGTGGTTCGACCTGACCCTGGGTCCAAGTTTTGAGAATATCTCAATATCGTTCGGTTTTATTTCACATCATATCCTTCCACGTAAAATTACAGAAGGCAGCATATAAAATGTTGACTAATCTTTCACTTCCTGTTTTTTGTAAATTCTAACATGTACAAAACAGTCTTTCCGAGAAAACGCCCTGTACATTATCTGAGCTAAGGAGGCAACTTTCTTAGGTTAAAAGGCTCCGCACAAAAACTTTCTGCAGCAACAAAAACAACAGGAAAAGAATTAAACTGAAAAAAAAATGCGTATCCCGGCTAATGTGACAACAGTACAGATCGTAGATAAACGTTCAGATTTGATCGAATTCTCAATATAAGCCCAATTCTGACCAAAATCCACTCAGTGATTCGACTACGACAATTATTCCCATTTCAACAAACTAGCTTAAACTCAAATTGATCTTCCCAATCCAATAATTTGGGTTTGAAAAAGCTAACTATTCACCTGCAGCACCATCAGCAACATGTTGATTGTCATGGTGGTAATTATGGATATTTGGGTCCATTTCCTGAGGGTCTGGATGTCCGTAGTTTTGGTCTAAACAAGAACATAAGCGGTGCACCTACAGTAAAACAGCGCTATCTTGAAATCTCACTTCCGAAAGCTAAACCGTCAAGAACACCTGGCTCGTTGTTCGTACTCACCAGCTATTTTTCACCAATTGTCAGATGAAAACCACAAAACTTATGCAACACTTACCGCCATATCCTCCGTTGACGTTGACGTGGACGTCGAAGGACTTGCCAGGATGTTGGGCGTTGGCTAACTCCTGGCCCGTGTGGACGGCGTTTTCGCCACCATTATTATCGTATTCCATACTACAGAAATATTCTAAAAATTTCAAAATCGTATTCGAAAGGAGATTATAGGAGGAAACCAAACCTTCCGAACATAACATAAAGCTGGCGTTTCGGCGGATTTCACCTTTCTAAACCAGGATTTAAACCACTCTAAACACAGAATAGCTTCTTTGCACACTCACCACATAGTCAGTGGAAGACTCACAGAAGGCTGTAATTGGGCAAAGAAGTTATTCTGTATTCAATGTGATTGAAGTCTTGGTCAAGCATTTTCGCTGTTTGGTTATGGAGGTGTTTGACTGGGTAGATTGCGGTCAACTTGACCCTTCCAGCCTCTGAGGAAGGCTAAATCCGCCAAAACATCAGCTTGTGAGTAAGTAAAGAAATAAAGTAAGACCTCGTGTTTGCTAAACTAAAAAGAATATAAAGAATTATTCAGTCAATGGCGAGGTTAGAATAAAGTCGGTCGTGGGAATAACGTAAAGCATTCCTGGTGGCGAACTACAACAAAGGGAAAAATTGTAGTACTTGAGTCTCGGAACACAGGAAAAAATGACAGCAAAAGCGGGAAGAAAATAGGCAACTGACACGGATCACTACCCAAAGCACTAGCTGATTTATGCGACAGTGACAAATGAAACCTCAAAGGTTCACCAACTGGTAAGGACTCAAATGAAACAGGCAGTTACAGAAGGGTCCCCAACCCAAACGACGAACGATGGGTCCCCAGCTGACAAACTACTCCTACATGCCCCTTTGGACTGAAAATGGTCCGACACGAACACCAACCTCTCCAGTATCTTCAGAAATCACCTACGATCATTTGCAAAAAAAATCGATGGAACACACGACGCCACCCCCCGAACCCCTTCAAAACGCGGACGCACTACATATGCGCCAACGAGGTGCGCCGAAGAGTGCGTCAATCGTCGGTTGGACACATTTGAGGCGGCTACTGGTGCCTCCAACGTAACTACGCTCCTGCTTAGATTTGAATTCTTTTCACCGAGTAGGAAGTGGTTTGGGGCTTATAACACTCTGGCAAGTAGCGAAATATGGGAGTGTGCTTACATTGGTTCACGTTTATTCGTTGCAGTCTTCGGAATCCCACAGGCGGGCAACCATGGGCATTTTGTCCCAATGCTAGATGTCCTAATAGTGAGCTAATATTATAGGGAGATCATACTAAGCACTTGTTTGTTCACCTAAGGGTAAAGGATAAAGCTCTCGCCGTTGATCAATTTTTGAGGGATGCACGGCGCATTCTAATTCATTAAACATCGTTGGAGGTGATTGAATGCACATATGGCCTTTACAATGACTCGCGGTGGCCTGCCGATGTATCGAACCAGTGCTGCTATCCTCCCAGGCAAGTCTGGTTCCAATTCGCCGACACTGGAGAGATAGAAAGTTTGGTGAGCCTTGGGCTCGGATCGACCACACGTGTATTGCGGGAGGTTCGTGCACTTAACGGAACGTAAATACATATGGTAATGACGCCTTGGATCCACATAGGCATAATTTGCTGATGTTATCTAGTTAATGAAGCAGTGTAGACCACTGTGGACATTCTGCTTTTCGGCAATAATAGTTTTAATCAATAAAAACGTTTCCATAGTCTGGCCAGATACGCTATTCAGCTTATCAGAAGTCACATGACATAACCGGGAATCGTATCCAGTTATTATGCCCTACAGCAGTTTTCTGGTATTAGGTGGATTCACACTTTGTCAAAAGTTCTACTCTTCCTTTGTGGAAAGGTAAGCCGTTTGATACTCTGGAGCGATCAAGTGAAACCAGCGAAGCCCTGAAACCTTGCAAAAGAGAGCCTTATGGTAAATACGTATGAGTAGTGTTATGGAAAAGAAGTAACCATTCCCTTACGAAGTGGTCTGTGTTTCTGACTGTTTCGCGACCAGAGCTGGTTTCGTCGTGCTCCCCGCCCCCGAATCAGACCTCCCAGGAGCGCGATCGGAGCGGCTCTTCGCCGTCATGATGCATGCAGAACACCTCTTCTCGGCTCCACCTCGGTGCTGAGTCCATGCTGTTCAAGAACCTATCGACTGACTGCAAAAAGTCTTGCAAAGAAGCTCTTTGTGGCAAGATAAGCAAGTGAAAAACGTGCGCATTGAGACCAGCACATATGGTCCGTCAACGTGAGTGTTGAAATGAACACTCATAATAGCGAAAAGCTCGAAATAGAGCTCGAAATCTTGAGCTGCTTTGACGTTCTGATGCTAGTTTGGCTTTGCGCTCATTTCACCTCGCACTACACAATTCGGATACTTGTGAGCAAATAGCAACCGTTATTTGTGATGACGATTCACGATTCTAAGGTTTTCTGGTGTTGATTTATCTTTATCGCTTCCGACCGATTTACGTTCTATCTGGCACGTTCATTTTATACGGATCTTGCGAATGTATCTATTTATAGCTCAAAAGCCCGACCTTCTATAGACCTAGTTGATATATTTATTCGATTTATCTATTTATATGTTCCTTTGAACTGACCTTGTTGACCTGTTGCGAGGTCGGTATGTTCTTGTTGTTGTGGACAAGTCCTACTCGCAACATCAAGGCTCTGAGAAAGGCAAAATCAGCGAAACATCAGCCATCGCCCAACAACAGTAATAACGACAACTTATACCAATCTCGCATCAGCTCAATCGTAGGAACACATCTATTTACCTCAGCTTAACTGAGTTCGATGCCGATTTGTGCTCGCCAGGTCAATCGTGCTGACGGGTGTTTGCTAATTGGTAGCGTTGGGTAGAAAACTAGTTGAGAGAAACGCGAAGCTAAAGGTTCAGTGGTGCAGTGTGTAATACGCGAGCCCCCGGAAAGAGCTCTCGTGGTTCGATCTGGCCCGGCGTCAAACTTTTGCGAATATCTCAGCACCGTTGTGGTTATATTTCACATAATACCATGCCGTGAAAAGTTATAGTAAGAAGGAAATAAATGATTTGCATATCTGTCTTTTATCGCAGTTGGACTAACCTCTTCAATCTTCTATGAAGTCGGTGGATTAAGGTAGTCACTATTCTACTAGGCGACCGTAACAGGTAGATCGCTGTCTTGTTCGTCAGAAATTCCTCAAGCTTACTTTGCAGCATGACAGTACGGTCGGATTTTTCTCCATGTCAAGCAGTTCTTATTGTGGTGTCCATTCTGATAGCACTGAAGATTCTCCTCATTCCGACTTATGCTTCGACGGATTTAGAGGTAAGTCGTTGAACACCAGTACCTATTAACATTTACGCGTAGCATTTCCATTCGAAAGCCTTAACATTAGTGTTACATCTATTTTTACTTTAAATTTGACTTCAAATCATAATCTATTCGGTACTCATAAGGTTCACCGTAATTGGTTGGCCATCGTCCATAATCTACCACTTTCTGAATGGTACTATGACTCGACCTCTGAATGGACCCTCGATTATCCGCCATTTTTCGCATACTTCCAGAAGGTGAGCTTTGATAAAATCCTCGTTTCTGGATGTTGTGCTTGTTCCGATACTGCTGTTTTTCGGATTCAGGCCCTGGCAACGATAGCCTTCTTCTCTGGGTTTCAAGATATCTTGATTCTCCAGAAAGGTGCGCTGTTCAACAGTCGAGTTCTTCATTTCCAACGGTTATCTGTGATTGTAACGGATGCGTTTTATGTAAACGTTTGATGATTTATACTCAACAGTTTGTACTAATGCTTGGTAATCGATAGAGTTTAGTATACTTCCAAGCTCTAGTTCACTGCCATAATATCAATATGCTTAGCTCCAATAAGTTCGGTTTTCTCTGCTCTGTAATTTTGTGTGCAGCTGCTTTAAGCTCATAAGGCTTTCGGCGTTGATCAATCCCTGAGGGATGCGCCAAACCACTCGGCTTCATTAAGAATCGTTAAAGATGATTAAATGCGTATCTGGCCTTTTAAAATGACTTGCAGTGGCCTGCCAGTGTATCGACCCAATGCTGCTATCCTCCTAGACAAGTCTGGTAACAATTTGCTTACTCCGGAGAGATGGAGGTCTTGGTGGGCCAGGGAGCCGGGTTCGATCCTATGTGTATGGCAGAGCGCCTCCGACCACTGAGCTACACGTGTTCATAGCAGCTGCTTGTTTATGCCAATTCTTTTGCTTGAACTCGAAGATATGTGCAGTGGACTTGAAGAGACGTGCTATATGAAAACAGTTTTCAGATCATCTCGTGTGTCATCTTTTGTTTCTGCGTCTCATCGCGTTGGAATGTGCTCCCTGAGAGGCTCGCAGTGAAAGCGAGGTAAGTAACATGTTGCTGTACAACTTCTCCTCCACCTATTAGGCAGCAAACGCAACTCACTGATGTGAAATTTCACATCATACCCTGTTGTGAAAAATAATAGTAGGCAGTAAACAAGCTAGTTTTGGAATTCGTTGAACTTTTTTCTCCTAATACAATACCGTTTGGGATTTTTGGCGCATGTCAACTTTGAACATGCATGTGGGGGCTTGCATGATCTTGAACAGGTCTTTCACTTTTTTGAATGCATCTTTTTAACCCTCGGAAAAGTAACTGTCACAATTTCTCTGAACTCCATTACTTCTCAAATTTTTTTTAGAGGTTATTCGCAAATGCGTCGCTTTCTGTCTCATCATTCGCGAAGTTGTTATACAGCGCACGTTTACTTCCGTACAAGAAAACGTGTAACATAACAGTAGCTTCAGAGCCCGAAAAGCTATATTGAAGCTTTTCGAAAAACCCACCGTTTTTTACGTGCCTTCCATTGAGGGAGAGAAGAACAGCTGATTATAGTCACATGTGGTTGGCGACTGCATCAGCTCACGCCGAAAATTCTCTATTTTGATTTTGGCTTTGGACTGGGTATTTTATGTGGGCTTTTGCGGTGGTCAACCATATGCGACTCAAATCAGGTGTTCTTTCTTAGTAGAAGGCAAGTAAAAAATGGTGGGTTTTTCGAGAAGTTTCAGTTTACCCTTCCAGGCTCTGAGATATTGCCGAAACGTCAACTGCTGTTGTGTTGTATGTGTTTTTGTAAGAAAGTAAATATATGCTGTATAACACCCTGCAATTTCTGAAAAAGAAAACGACGTCTTTGTAATCCAACACCGAGGTTAAAAGAAAGTCGATCCTGGGAACTATTATTCGTAAAATTATTCCCTGTTTAATTATATCTGACGGTTAGAATCAACACATTCGCGGTGATATGTAATTTCTGTGTACACCTGCCAAAAGATAGTGTTCTCTATCTCTGGGCGGAAATATCTTGTTTCATACGGACCTTTCTTTATACTTTTTCTTTTTTTCATGCGAGCAACACCGCGAATTGTGCTGATCCCAGCACGTAGTGCATTTCTATCTCATTTCCTCAAATCCATCATCTTCGAAAATTTTCGGATCTGTGTTTGGATTCGATTATTGGTTGCGGATTTTTGGTTTTGTCGTGAAAGTTGTTAAATGCTGGTAGGATTGATTCGCCCTTAAATCCTCGGGTAGCCATGTTACGACGTTCCTTAATCTTCCCACATATTTTCTTCGCTCACTGTTGATCGGAAAGAGGTTTTCCAACGCTCCACCGACATCCGGACAGCGGAAGAATGAGGTGGTTGGTTGTTTCGCAACGGGGTCAAACCAGAGTCTTGCGCATATTGAACTTTATCTCAACTGCTTCGCTACGCGCTTACCAGAGATTCATTGATTGAAATAGAAGTCAATGTTAGAATTCGTTTTCAATAAGGTACGACTTTTTACTTCATTGGAACTGTTGTTTTCTTAAGCTCACAAAAGGTGTTCTTGCGTTGTTGCCCGTTGTCTACGCAACGAATTGAGTAGACGTGAGAGATTTGGTATTAAAAGTACGATTATATCCATCTTTCTTCGTCTTTAAATGCTGACTGCTGCCGCCTTTGAGTTAAAAAAAGCCCAAAATATTCATTTTTTCTACACCTCGTTGTCTTGAATTGGACAGAAGTGGTGCTTTTGAAGATGAACTCTAAAGTGGATTTCAGTATGAGCACAGAGGCTATGAATCTTCCGTTGGAAGTAAACCACCAAACTGTGAAATGATGGAACTTTCAGGACATTGGAGTCTAATACTGCAGTTCTTTCACGTTGTAACCTTCCTTTTGGACGCTGGTTCACAAGTTTTGGGAAGACAGTAAATTGTAGAGAAGAGACATCGCCCACTGTTTGCATCAGGCTTCGTACAACTTTTGAAGGACCGAATTCAATTCTGCTGGTAAAACGGTCAGATGTTAACGCAGAAATGTTATAACTTCAGTGATTCCTGCACGAAATAGACAAAGCCGAGTGAACAAGCACTTTTTTTACATTTTTGAAACTGAAGTTATTGAAGTATCGTTGGCTTTTAATAAGAAAAAGGTGATTGTGACATGAAAAGGGGAAATAGTGAAGATACGCGGAACATTCAGAACAAACTAGCAGCGATCTCCTGTTTTTCTACTTTTTTTTTGATTGGCACGTGTGGCATAGCGGTCACAAGCGACTGCTATACACAAATGTGATCGCGTACTCGTGGTCCACCAAGCCATCACTTCCTCCGTGGTCGGCAAATTGCTACCAGATTTGTCTGGGTGGATGGCAGCACTGGCTCGATACATCGGTAGGTCACTACGAGTCACTGGCAAGGACAGATATGCATTCGGTCTCTTCCAAACGATGCTTAGTGAAGTCAAATGGATGGCGCATCCACCAGGAATTGACCTACGCCGAGAGCTTTATCCTTTATCCTTGTTCTTGTTCAACGAAGCTGCTCCCTGTCGTCAACTTGAGGAATCCATTTTCTAGGATTGCCACATTCGTTGTTCTCTCGTGCAACGTCGGCCTCATGTTGGTTGATAATATCCATTTTCAATACAACTCTATGCTCACCGCTCTGTTAATATTGTCGATCTATTTCGCCGATCGCGAAAAATACCTCATGGTACGTGATTACTGGTCCTTTTTTAAATGTTCAGTTTTTCCTTTTTGAAATGACATTTTTAAGTCAGCACTCATTTACTGCGTACTGTTGAACTTCAAACATATTTATCTCTATTATGCTCCAGCATACGTCGTCTTCTTTCTCCGGTGTTACTTTTTCCGTGGTACAGGAGATTCGTTTGAATTCAGTGGTTTTTTGAGCCTAGGTATATTCATATTCAGTGATGATAACCTTTTCCAGAGCTATTTCATCGGAGTTATTGTTCGAACAATTTTAGCTTTTTTACTTTTAACAGGTTTAAAACTCACAGCTTCTATCGCTGCACCATTGATTTTATCCTTCGGACCTTTCTTAACTTCAGGAGGTTATCAAAGTCTCGTGCAAATATTAAGCCGATTGTTCCCAATTTCTCGAGGTACCATTACATTTTTAGCCTTAATTCCTGCGAAAAATTACATCATTTTCAGGGCTCACACATGCCTACTGGGCACCGAATTTCTGGGCTATATATAACGTCATTGACCTTTTTCTATACCGAGTTTTATCCATTTGGTGGCCTGATTTGTTTAGCGCGCCAACATATTGTTCTGGGATTGTTCAGGTTCTGTTACCACTAGCATTATTTGGGTCAACTCTTAATAATTTCAGTTTTAACATGTTTGGATCGGGTTAAATGGATGCAATTTTTGGTGATATTAAGCATGCACCCATTAGGCGATACATCTTAAATTTGACTCTCCTTAGGTGTACAATCACTCGGTACTGCCGTCTATAACTTCGTTGCTTTCTTTGGCTTGTGTGTGCGCTTCACTAACTCCTTTATTCTTCACGCTCTTGAAGCGAAAAGTACCGGATTTGTGCACGTTGTTGTCGCTTAGTGCTTTCTCATTCTTCTGGTTTGGATATCACGTCCATGAAAAGGCCCTATTGCTGATAGTGATTCCACTGTTATGTTTGGCATTCACAGTGAGTTGGATCTCGACAGCTGAATGAGTTTTTCAACATGTTTCTCACTTTTACATACGTCTAAATTATGGGCTTAGGATCCTAAATTCATGCGGCTGGCCGTCCTATTCTCTATTATCACAGCAACATCACTCTTCCCGCTATTGTTTACGACTTTTGAAATCTATATCAAATACGTTCTATCTGTGACCTACATAATCTTGCTGTTGATAATGTTCAGGTTTGTGATTCAGTTTTTAATGGTTTAAGTTTTCTTGATTTGATAAAATAGTCACTTGTATACTTGGACGGCCCACCCTCACTGGTTGTGCAGACCCCAGCAAAATTCCCACTTTTCCGGAGTTTTGCTGGTTTAACCCTTGTGGTTACCTGGAGTCCCGAGGTCAGCCAGGCCAAAGTCTCCCTCAGGTCGTCACTGCCACAGACAGTCGCGTCTTTTGTGGAACAGAGCGAAATTTGTCACTATGCAACTAGTTTGATACCAGGACGGTGACGGATCCTGATATTGGTTTACTCTTAGCTAGGCTTCCTGCTGGAAACGCCGGACTCCCTCTCAGCTTGGGAGACCCTGCCATGGGGATGAATCTTCCCGCTGCACATCGTAGCACGACACCCAGGAACTACTCCCAGTCATGATGAGGCGGTAAACCGCTAGGATTTGATAAAATAGAGAATGAATAGTGAGTCATTCTATAGATATACCACATATGAGAGGCAGGTCCCTCCATAGATCTCCCTCATGAGAGTTTGCGATGTTGGTTTGACGAATACCTTCTTCATATGCCGGGTTACATCAGTCAATGACTCTATTTTTGCCAAAAAAAAAACAGTAAATGTGAAAGTTCTTAGACGAGAAGTGCGATGTTCATCATGTATATTCGTCAGCCTTGGCTATTAATTAGCGCAATTATAGAAGATATCGCTGATGTAATAATTTTTTTTGTATGGATATTTCGTGTTATTAAACTTTACAGGTATGCTTTCTATATAAAACTTGGCTCGTTAGTGACCTTCGCAGACGTTTGTTACATATGTGGCCTAATACTGCTTGAATTATATTCTACAGTGGTACACAAGGTCTGCTTGAATAATTGTTATTAATACGACGTAAAGTTATCGTTAGTAGATTTCTGTATCACTCCGCATAGCTTTGTTCCAGAAGTAAATTCGTAAATAAGGCAAAATTCGAAGAATAATTCTTTCTACTTCTGTTTAGCAGGCACGAGGTGTTATTTTATTTCTTTATTTACGTACAAACTGACATTCCGACGGATTTCGCCTTCCTCAGAGCCTGGAAAGGTCAAGTTGATAGCAACCTATTCGGCCAAACACCTCCATAACCAAACAGAGAGAATGCTGAACCAAAATTTCAATCACATTGAACACAGTCTTTGCATACTCACCCGTTTTCTATGAGTCTTCCACTAAATATGTCACGTGGAGACCAGCCGCACAGAGTCCACACGGAATCGTATTGTGCCCATCTCATCAAAATAACAGGCTTATATACTGCCCAATATCACGCGTGATAATAAGCGCGCAAAACTCTAGAGGCATTCTGGATTAATTCCAAGACTCCGAAAATGAACCGCAGGGAGGAATGCCTCATTATCACGCGTGATATTGTGCAGTATATAAGCCTGTTATTCTGATGAGATGGGCACAATACGATTCCGTGTGGGCTCTGTGCGGTTGGTCTTCACGTGACATATTTAGTGGAAGACTTATAGGAAGCGGTGAGTGTGCAAAGACTCTGTGTTCAGTGTGATTGAAATTTTGGTTCATCATTCTCTCTGTTTGGTTATGGAGGTGTTTGACCGTGTAGATTGCAGCCAACTTGACATTTCCAGGCTCTGAGGAAGGCGAAATCCGCTGAGACGTCAGGTTGTACATAAATAAAGAAATAAAATAGCACCTCGTGTTTGCTGAACAGAAGTAGAAAGAATTATTCAGTGCCGAGGTTAATAGAAAGTCGGACATGGGAGTTACTACAAAATTCGATTAATTTGAGTCCCATATTGCCATAAGGGAACGTGTGGCGCAGTGGTTAGAGGCACTCTGCAACACACCCATGGATCGATCCCGGCGCTCCTGGCTTACTAAGCCTTCCATCCTTCCGGGTTTGGCAACATGGTGCCAGACTTGTCTGGAAAAGTAGCACCACTGACTCGATACATCAGTATCCTAACGCGAATCATTGTAAAGGCCAGGTGTGCATTCAATCACCTCCAAACGATGGCTAATGAAGTCGAATGCATGGCGCACCCGTTAGGGATTGATCAGCGCCGAGAGCTTTATTTTCTTTATCCTTTTATTGCCATGAAGATGGTAGTGTGTGAATTTGCATACCGAGAGATAACGAACAGTATAATTGCCGCTTTACGGTGTAAAGCTTTTGCAGCCACTTAGAATATCACCTCTTTTTCCTACAGTTTTTTGCAAGGAATGAAAATCACTTGGTTTGGATCGGTAAGGTATCTTTTACAATAATACAAGTGGACGACTACTTTTCAGGTATTATTTGCAGAGAAGTTGACATTTTTGCCACTTATGATGATATCTGTGTACAACGCTCTTGGTGTGTTGAGGTGCTACATTTGGCTAATTCTTTTGGTCTTCAGTGATGATGTCATAGTGATGTACAAGAAGAAACGTTGTGAACTGATAGAGGTAGGCGCAAAACAATTGTGACGAAACATTGTTTCGTCGGAAAATGTCACATATTTCACAATGTCACAACTAGAGGGCACATCCAAGAGCGTGTATTTTTCTGATGGGGGGTCTATTAGTAATTATTATAAATCTTTAACCTGTGAAAGTCATAGAGAAACAGGGTGTGGGCCGATTACTGGTGCTGGATTTGGTGTTTTATGGAGTCATACAAGGAAGAATGAGAATCTTCCCCACATCTATATCTTTCATCTATAATTATGTTTGATGTCTGTTTAAGTTCATAGATTTGTTGCTTGTATCCACCATTTTTTGAAGGGTACTGTTGATAATAGTATATAAACTCCAGCGGTTTACCGTGTCATTGTGGCTGAGAGGTCACCCTGGGTGCCGGGCTGAGATATACAGCGGCAGGATTCATTCTCCCGGTAGAGCCTCCCAAACTGTGAAGGAGTTTCCATCAAGAAGCCAGCTAAAGAGTAAACCAGCACCGGGATCCTGGTGTCAAGCTAGTTGTATGGTGACAAATCCCTCTCTAATCAACAAAGTCGGCGACTGCCTGTGGTGGTGACGACCTGGGGCACACTTTGGCTAGGCTGACCTCAGGACTCCATGGAACCACAGTGGCTAAACCAGCAAAACTTCGAAAAGGTGGAAATTGTGCTACGGCCCGCACAATCAGTGAAGACGGGCCATCCATGCAAGTAAGTATTGATAAGATCTAACTCGTCGTGGGTACTAGAATGATATGACAGTCTATTTCCCATGAAATTACCGCTTAGTTAACTCTTCCCAAAAAAAGGTGTTTTGAGGGTTATCAGTGCAGTGGACTGCTTTTCATCCTGGCATAATGTCTGTCTCGCATAACGTATCAAATTTAAAAGGTGCTGAAAAAATAACTTGGTGTAGTAAAATAAATCACTGGAAAGGAAATGTACTGGATGCGATGCACTTCGTCCATCCTGTCCCGCTCCGCACATGCATAGCATACCATGCATTTACAGCGTTCTATGTTAAAACCTTACCTCTTGTGGTTTTCGTCAACATTTTTAGCCTTGAAGACGCAAATATCATGAAGTTACTGCATATTTTGTCTGGGTTTACACCGTTACAGTTATGCTTAAATTCGTGCTCTTCTGTTTATATGATGGAAACTGCTTTGGTAGCTCATCTTTCGAAGCACATGCGGATTTGGCAAAACTTACATTTGGCTATTACTACAGTTTGCTGGTTAGGCCGGATTTCCTACCACCAAACACTTGTTTGAACCTTCCTAAGTCATCGCGGCGTGCAGTCGGCAGCTATTTTAAATCAAATGGACATTTGTTGTATTGTGGCTAGACAGCTATGTAGAGGGCACCGATTTCCAGTTTTGGTTCTTCTTCATTTGACTTGCAACTGGTCGTGTCATCATTATTCTCAGCTTCTCCCTTTTTTTCTGACTTTTCTAGTAGGTAGGTCGTGCTTGAGTGACCTTAGTGAGCAGCTCAATTGTACACCCACTATCACTAAATAGCATCGATGACGTAATAAATTAGTGGCAAGAAGTGTTAGATAAAGAATTGAAAATAACATAATAAGACAGAGTGCTTGCTTAGTGTATCAAATGTCCCTAAGGTCTTTCTAGATGGAAACTTACTTGGTGTTTGTGCATATTTATTTATTTCTAGGCTTTAATAAAAGAGGGTTACTATCCTGTGCAAGCTGTTGATTCCTTTGAAGAGATTGAATTGGTCGGCGGAATAGATATCTCAACGTCGAAAAAGAATCCAGATTTCGCTGTTGTATCGTTCAGCGTCTTCGAATATCCAAGTATGCAGGTAGGAATTGTTTGTCATTAATGTAATATGAGGTTGGTATGAGAATATTTGTTCGGCTAACGTTCCAATGTCTTTGTCTTCCTCAGAGCTGATGATCCGAGTTGATTTCCACAGGCGGTAGCTTTCGCGAGCTTGATGTTAGATGTCGCACTAAGCCGAATCCAGTGAACTGGAGCACCGCTTGAATGAAGATTCTCGCTCTGCAATCCCCTTTTATAGAGGACTGATGTCGGTCTACTGCTGCAATCCAATATGGTCTGCTATTTCTGCCGCCAATGCATTATGCAGTAGTTGGTGCTTCATTGATCGGCAAGAATAATCAATGTTTTTCTAACTTTTTTCCAGATTGTCTAAGTTGTCATAGTTATCGTAGTTGGCAAAATTGAAGACCAAAAGTGAAGTGGTGCACTGGTGGTGGTTAGCGTCATTATGGTTGTGTTTCACGTAAAATCCTGCCGTTAAAATGGAATAGGTGGTGAATAAAAAGTACTACGTTGTGTTTTAGACCACAGCTTCAGCTTAACTGGGTTTAACGCCAATATGGGCTTCCAAGATCAATCCCGTTGGCGGGTGGTTGCTGATAGCACCCATAAGTCAATAACACGGCTTAGAGACAGGCGAAACGAAGGACCCCAATGGTATTGTCTTCTCTCCTTACAGACATTCAATGTTAATGTTAACCTTTTATTTACTGCCTGCCACAATTTTCACGGAAGGATGTTATGCGAAATCAACCATAATGATCCTGAGATATTTGCAAAACTCCTGACCGCAAGTGTCTGCGGTGAGGATCGAACACGCTGTTACCCTTACTGGGGCTAATGCGTTCACCACCACATCATGCGCGTCCTCCGTTTCGCTTTTTTTTTTCCTCTCATATTTAATGCTAGTGTGGTGTCCAGCGTCTCACCACAGGATGTCTGGATTAATCTTAGAGAACTTTGCTACCCCGCGTTAAAAGGAGGGCATCCCTTTTTGCGTTTAATCGAATCATTAGCGAATTTCACGAGGTGGAGAACTGCTAGGAGGTATGATATGGCGGTTTTTTAAAAATTTCTTATCAAAAGTGTTTATTTGCTTTACAAAGTAAAAAAGTAATACTTATACTTCGTTAATTTCCTAACAGTATTTTCCTACTGTAATGCTTTCATCTGGTTTGAAGAGTTTTATAGTTTTTTTTCCTTTCTAGTTTTATCGAAATATTCTGAGACTGTTGTTGCACATGCATCCAGTTGTTTACCCAAGTTCCATCATTTTTTTATCTAATCTGGTTAAAGTCTTAAGGTTAATATTGTTTGTGGTAGTGTGTCTTCCGTCAATTTTTTGCACCTAGGGTTCTCATCTCTATGCGACGCTTCAAAAATCAACTTTCCAATTTCTGTTCTTTAACGGCTTGATGGTGAAATAGAACATTTAATTGTACATGTCGCTTCCATGGCTTAAAAAATTCGGACTTCAAGAAATCACTTAAATTTTCTCCTTTTTTAAATATTTTATTCCATTGGTGAAAGTTTAACGTGAATTGTTACGAAAGCAAAGCATTAAAATGTTGAACGAAATCTTTTTTTTTCCAAAGCTTTTTACAGTAACTACACTGAGGCGCAATCTATTTAAGAACAAGGCGCGAAATGTGAGGTAGAATCAATCCGAAAGGACTGCTCATTTTCCATATAATTCACCAATACACTTAACTTTTGGTTTCTAGGTAGTAGATAATGTAAGTATATGCAAGTGTTGGGGCGGATAGCACAGTAGTAGTGATGTCGGCCATCGCAAGCATAGTGCTAGTTCGATTCCGTTCCGGGCTAACCAAGCCTCGCATCCTTTCGGGGTGGGGAAATTGGTATCGGACTTGTCCAGAAAAAAATCATCCTGCATTCCAATTGGGAACGCTCCAGCGCGGCTATCCCATGACTCCAGGGAAGGTCGACTCAACCAGCATTCTATGACGTTCAAGATGAAGTGAAAATCATCAAGCAGTAGCCAAAGCCACACGTAAAGTTTTGAAGGTCTTCGTGGATAATGGACCCGAGGAAAAGATTCGAATGTTAGAATTACTGGGATCCTCATAGTAGAGGTGAAGACGGGTCATATGAAAATAGAAATGAAAAAAGATGATGTAAGTGGTAGTGAACGGCATCATTTATGTTACTCCAACCGTTACAAGAAATGCATTCCGTCCTCTCCATTTCCTCCCTGCTCAATAACAATTTCGTAGTTCCTATTGTAACGACCTATACATCTTTGATGTTTAGCTTCTTGCGCTTTTCGATGAAGTTGTGATAGTAGAAGAACCATACATTACGGATTATTTGGCAGTACGCGAAGCCACACCATTTGCGGAACTTATAAATCGAGTTGTCGCAGACCACCCGCAATTCCGACCAGACGTAATAATCTGCGACGGGAATGGTCAATTTCATGTCAGAGGTGAATATTTCTCCTTGTATTGCTACAACTTGCTCAGATATTTGTACATAATGTTATGAACAAATACTGACGTGCTTCTTTTGTAGGAATATTAACTAATTTTTTTAGGGTGCGGACTAGCATGTCATGTTGGCGCGTTGACTGGGATAGCTACGATTGGTGTCGCAAAAAATCTCAACCTCTCTCTACTTAAATCACTTGAAAGAAGCGATGATGTTGAGAAGATGTTCAAAGAGGTAACGGTTCGGAATAAGTTGAGGCTGTTGTAAAGTTATCAACACATACGACTTACCAGTTATAATGTCGTTTTGACACGTTGAACCAAGCTGCTTTTCTTATCTTTTCAAAATGGTATTTTTTTATATCTCTAAATGCAACAGTTTCCAAAGTGTTTGTTTATCTTCCTTTGATGAGAATAGCCTAAAATTGTATGGTAAATGAGGTCATATCAATTTTGTTAAATTTCTGCTGTAAGTGAATTGATGTCACCGTTATAGTATACTTTTGAGATGGGTGAGACAGACCTGTTCTGTTAGTGGATCATTTTCTGAGAATTTGATTCATAAGGGGGAATCACTTGATTCGAGCAGTTGAAAAGAGCAGAGAAAGACCACAAATGAATGTAACATGAAGGAAAATGAAGCAAGAGTGATTTTTTTTCTAGAGAAAGGTGAAGAGTCTAGGGTGCGTAGGTGATATGATGAAAAATACGTGTTGTTCATACTAATACAGACACAAATTTCCCGAAACCTTCGCGTTTCTTGGAGGTTATGAAGTCAGTCATGACAAGATGCTTATCGGGCGCTTCATGAGAAGTTCCTTCATATTGCTGCACTTTAGTACACGTTCAAAAAAGAAGAGTCGGAATAAATGAAATCGGTTTTGTATTGATCGAGTTTTTATAAGAATATAAGGAGATGTGTACCTCTGCTTCTAACATTTGTAGAAGTTTGGACATTCACTAGAAGATCTTGGTGATCACAACGAAGTCGCGGGTTTTTCGAACTTTGTAAGGAATGGCAGTGTCTCATTTTTCCAACAAGATTGCTTGGAAACTAAGCAAAAGGTCTAACCAATACTGTAATCGCTTTGTCTCGTGTTTTTTCAACTACTTTGAGAGAAAGTGTGAGCTTCAAACATTTTGCTGTGTGAAGGATAAATCATTGATTAAAGATTTAACTCTTTTACAATATCCACAACTTCATTGGATGTGTTACACTTTTTCTGCAAAAAATTATGGAATGTTTGCAAAAATACAGGAGAAAATCAGAATGAGTGCATGGAGTTGTCATCAATGTGTTGGTGACGTATAGTTTACAGTTTCAGCGTTCTTTTTATCGTTTCTTTTCAACCGATGCATCTTAGGTTATCGCACGTGTTTCGACTGAAGACAGCGATGGATATGCACCTTTCTGTGTCACTCTTCCTACATTAACGAGTATAACTCGGCTCGGTGGATCTAAAGTGCCAGTTTACGTTTCCGCTGGTTACGGTATTGAATTGGACTTTGCAACAAAGCTAGTGATTTCCACGGCTCAGAATAGGACATGTGAGCCAATAAGATCTGTGAGTTTGTTGAGGTCTGCGAAAAACATAGCTGTCAGACTGTCACCCATTGTTTATACTACTTGCGCTTGCTTTCAAGTAGCGCTTATTCTTTAAGAAGGGAAGTTTTTAACGTAAAAAAGGGTCTGCATTATATAACGGGTAGTTTCGGCGAAAACGTAGGAGTGTTACTTCTGAAGGACAGTGAAGGTAAGCACGTAGAAAATTCAGTCTATTTCTAATATTTCCACGCCCAGAATCTGATCAAGCTTTGTTTTTGTACGGTGTTTTCTTTCAGAGATTGAAAGACATGAGAGTACTAAATCGCCTTCTTAGACATCTTGTTATTTTACGTAAACACTTCAAAAGCTCTGGAACTCCATATGAGGAACCTAAAATTGAAATAAAATGTTAGGAAGTAAAGTCTCGGCGTTTGTATAGGTTCCTTAAGTTTGTTGGTTTGACTAAATGGATGAATTTACTGTTAGAATTCATTGCGCTATAGTGCCTTTATAGATGGGGATGACCGTGTACACTTATTCCCCTGAATTGCTTTACCAGTACAGACCTCTTGGTTTTATATCATTGAAGTTTGGCAAACCATGTCAAGAGATTCATTTTGTTTAGGCGGATCTTCACTCGAGGGAAAAAATTCGAGAATACTTCGACAGTTAACACTTGGGTTAACGTTTAAGAGACCTTTGGTTCTTCTATGTTACAATTTTTTTCGGTTTTATTCTGTGCGATTTATGTGTTATGTATCTCGTTGTCTACTACGTCTTATCGTTTTTTAATGGATCTAATCAAGAATTAATGGTCTTTGAGATGTCAAAATTCTACGCTGTGCATTCTCTGCCTCATAAGACTTACCGTTTGAACCTGGCTTTTAGACATCCGATGGTAATTTTTCGGGAACTAGAGTATTTGAGAAATTGAGAACTTGTCTGACTTATGGGTATTTATTAATTTATTAAGGAGTTCTTATTTATCCTTGTGATCATAAATGTTTCTTAAAATTGTTATCCGTTTTCTAAAATTGTTATGTTCGCCAGTTCGTGCCGTAGTTGCTTTCGTTCTTTCGGCCTGCCACGCGTGACTTTTTCCAGTGTCCGCAGCCCATGATCTCAAATACAACAGTAATGCTGTGAGATGTTGACATATCAGAAAACATATGTGAGGTAGTAATACCAGCGCAATTAGATCAAATATATTTTATGCTGCTTGTTGGGTTATAATAACGTTGGCTTATAGTAACTGTACGATGTGTTTAGCATACCAGAAGGCACATGCGACGTTATAATGACTTTAATTCGTAATAACACTGCAATTACGAAACTGGTTGATGGAAAGGCAAAACAAGGTCCTTAGTGGTGCAGTGGATAACACGTGAGCCCCGGGTTTTCCAAATATCTCCGCATCGTTGTGGCTATATTTCACGTAGTGAGCAGTGCAGTGGAAAAATAATAGGCAGTAGATCAAAGTTAAACATTGTGACTAGAGTGAGGTTAATACAGTGGAAATTTATTGGGACCGTGATAGCGTAGGAGACAGAAGCAATTGTGTGAAAGTAAGGTCTAACAATTAGAGTTTACCACATGAAACACAGAGGTGAGATAAATGTGATAACGACCAAGCAGCTGTCAGTAATTAGGCGAATGTGATAATGGCTCCCGGTTAAATGCATGCTGGAGTAGGTGGTGTTTGGCGTAGTTTCAGCGTTTTGGTACACGCCGACAACCGCATCAAATAAGAAAGATATTGCTTATACACAACCTTCAAGAGAGAGCAGTACAATACCTTGTTCAGCTAAAGTGAGGTAAACGGTCCAGTCGGTATCTATGCGAATGGCGTGACGATTCCCATGTTTCACCGAGACGGAGAAGATTGAGTTGTCGAGACAGCAGACGATGCTGGCTTGCCCGATATTTAAAGTACCGAGCTACGGCAATCACCCGAGTCTTATCTCGAGTGATTACATATGCGAGATTAATGATAAAACAGGACCTCTGAAGGCTCTGAAGAACGCGAGACTACTGAAGCGTCAGCTTTAAGGGAATAAAGAACGAAGTAACACCTCGTGTTTGCTCAGCAAGAATATCGAGAACTATTTGATCAATGCCGAGATTAATAGAAAGTCGGTCCTGGAAAATACAGACGGTTTTCTGCAAGGCAAAGAACGGTCTCTACAATTCTTTGAAACTAGAATTTCTTTAGTAAAATGGATAAGCGATTGAAAATCAAAAAAAAATTAACCATAGAAGATGTATTCTCTACCAAGGTGGAGTTGTTATCTGACTTGATGAAGTCACCGCAGATTTGACTGTAAGGGAAATTGCGTGGTTCTATGAATTAGTTGAGTCTGCCAACATACTCATAGGTATGCATAATTATTCTAATATTATTGTCTTCGTAATACGATGTTCACATCAAGTACATATCAAAATTTTAGTTAGAAAATAAGTTCGCAGATTCCGAAGCCGTTACCAAAGCCTACTACTTCATAGGTCATAGCGGTTAGATGAGGAAACTGGTACCCGGAGAAAGCATAAGGTGCGAGGATGGAATATGCAACTACGTTGGATACCGACGCAGCAATTTTTTGTTGTAGAAGCAAGTAGAATGAATACAGCGGTGGTTTGACTCCATCGCGATCTATCATCTCTCCATGGTTGGGGAATTCGTAACATACTTCTTTCAGCCCAACTTATTTGTTCAAATCTGCACGGGAACGCTCTAGTACAGCTATGCCAAGACGAAGGAATATTTACTCGACCAGCATTCAGCGATATTCATAACTAAAACAAAAATCCTCAAGCAGCAACTGAACCCGCATACAAAAGTTCGAAGACCTTCGTGCATGATCGTTATGGAGAAACGAATTGAATGTGAGTGCTGTGATCTGCACAGCAGATATGAAGACGGGTGGTGTTTAAAAAAGGCAAGAACTGAGAGACTAAATGAAGTGGTGTGTGTTTATAAAGCTATTTATTACGGGTTCGAAATTTAAGCCCAGATTTTCATGGTTGAGGTCAAAAAATATTTGAGAGGGTAGGTCGCAGTTAATCCCTTTTCGCATTCTGAAAAAGGTCAATCCATCGAATCGTCAGATCTGAAGTAACTCTAGTGTTAGCAACTTCATATAACTTCGTGAAAACACTGCTTTAGTGACAAGAATATGTAATATAACTCGTCTGACTCAGTTGACGATCAGATGAGTTTCTATGTACCTGTACTGCCTAGTTAACAGATTAGTTCAGTATAACCACAGTGCTGTTGAGATATTTGCAAAAATTCGGCTTCTGATCTTCTAAATTGATTTCAAACAGAAACTGTAAGGTCTATAAAGAACAAAATAGTGAGTGTTTGAAAGAAGATGCTTACCATGCGAATAAAATCTACGTATTGAGTTTTTTCTCTTTGAATTATGAAAGTATTTTTCTGAGTAGATTGCCTGTCAATTTGATCTCTTAAGGCTTTGAAGAAGGCTAAACAGACGAAATGACCCAGCACTGAATTCTCGTTGGCAATAACTTTACGCTCACTCAAAAAAAAACGCTGACTTGTTGAACATTGCCATGCCGAGGTTGACAGAAAGTGGGTCCTGAGAGCTGCAAACGTTTGTCTTAGATCGTTATTTGTTAAAATAATCTGCGTTTGTGGACACATTTCATAGTTAACCAGGACGCCAAATTCACTAGTTTTATCAGTTTTTTATTGTGGTCTG